GTCAAACCCAAACCTGATTTCCACCACACCCTGTGTCTTCTAGTAAAATGCAGGCCTTCAAATACCGGTGAAATACTTCACAGCCTGGGAAACCAATTGTAGTTCTGTCTTGAACTATTAAGCAAAAACCATTTACTTGTTCTTAGCCATTCATATGTTCTTTTTCTAGTTTAAAGGCATTTAATTCTACCATTTTCCACCCAGTGCTAGAATCCTGTTTTAAAAATAAAAAAGCACATGAAAATACACTATAAACAGGCCAAAAGGCCTTTTAAAGTAGGCTACTATGATACATTAAAATATAATTCAAGATGTTAAGTAAGTACGAGAAGAGATGTTCAACAATCATATGTTATTAGGGAATTACAAATTAAAACAAAAATGTTCTATCACTATACACATATTAGAATGACCAAAATCCAAAACCCTAACAATACCAAATGCTGGTGAAAATGTGAAGCAATGGGAACTCTCATTCATTGCTGGTGGAAATGCAAAATGGAAGAGCCACTTTAGAAGACAGTTTGGCAGTTTCTTTCAACACTAGACATACTCTTACCCTACAATCTAGCAGTCACGTTCCTTGCTATTTACCCAAATGACTTAAAGATGTATATTCACACAAAAACCTGCATACAGATGTGTATAACAGCTCTAGCCAAAAATGACAAAACTTGGAAGCAATTAAGATGTCCTTCAGTAGGTGAATGATTAGACAGATTGTGGTACATCCAGACAATGGAATTATTCAGCACTAAAAGAAATGAGCCACCAAACCATAAAAAGACACAGAGGAATCTTAACTTTAACATATTACTAAGTGAAAGAAGCCAATCTGAAAAAGCTACACACTGTATGACTCCAACTATATGACATTCTGAAAAAGGCAAAACTATGGAGACAGTAAAAAGATCAGTGGTTGCCACAGGTTAATGGAGAGAGAGGGAGGAATCAGTGGAGCACAAAGAATTTTTAGGGCAGTGAAAGTACTCTGTACAATAAGACAGTGGTGGATAAATGTCATTATACATCTGTCCAAACCCACAGAAAGTGCAACATCAAGAGTGAATCCTAATATAAACTATAGACTTTGGGCAATACTGAGGTGTCAATGCAGTGTTCATTGATTGTAACAATTGTACGGCTCTGATAGGGATGCTGATAGTGAAAAGGGCTGGGCATGTGTGGGGGCAAACGGTATATGGAAACTCTGCTAAATTTGGCTGTGAATCTAAAACTTCTCTGAAAAAATTGTCTATTAAAAAATATGTTGAGACTAGACACAGTGGTTCATGCCTGCAATTCCAACACTTTGGGAGGCCAAGGCGGAAGGATTGCTTGAGCCCAAGAGTTCGAGACCAGCCTGGGCAACATAGTGAGACCTTGTCTCCACAAAAAAAATTAAAAAATTAGCCAGGCATGATGGCATACACCTGTAGTCCCCACTACTCAGGATGCTGAGACAGAAGGATCACTTGAGCCCAGGAGGTCGAGACTGTGATGAGCCAGGATCATGCCACTGCACTCCAGCCTGGGCAACAGAGTGAGACTCCAACACACACCAAAAAGTTTAGATTATATATATACACCATGCATGCCATATATGTATACTGGAAAAAACCCTAGGATGACTTTGTAAGCTCACTTCCATACTTCCATAACAAAGCTAACAGGTGTAGTGGTTTATTTTTACTCCAAGGAGCAGATAAAATTCAGTATGTTTATGGAATATTTACTCCTGGTAAGATGGTAGGATCCTCACCCTTCCTGGAACTTTATTATGGTAACCTTAATTGTATGCTTATGTTTTTTAATTTTTTTAATTGTATACTTATTAAGAGGAAAACCTGGTTGTTACCATAGAAACTACCAGGACTGGTTAGTACCTCCATGATTTGAGCAGTTATACCTGTTGGGTCACTTAAATCTAAACTTACAGGTTCCTGTTTAATAGGGAAAGGGTAAAAACCATTTCCAGCCGGGCTCAGTGGCTCAGCCTGTAATCCCACACTTTGGGAGGCCAAGGTGAGTGGACTGCTCAAGTCTGAGGGTTCGAGACTTGCCTGGGCAACTTGGCAAGACCTCATCTCTACAATAAATCAAAAAATTAGCCAGGCATGGTAGTGCGCACCTGTAGTTCCAGGTACTTGGAAGGCTGAGGTGGAAGGATCGCTGGAGCCCAGCAGGTCGAGGCTGCAGTGGCCAGGAGCGGCCACTGCACTAAAGTCTGGGCAACAGAGTGAGAATCCAAGTCAAAAAAAAAAAAGGCATTTCCATTTGTTTTAAAGAATGGCTAATCCACTGATAGGGTAATGCAAATTAAGATGGATAGAGTATGCACACACACACTAACAAAGTGGTGTGTAAAAATTAGGTGGCTGCCAGTGGCTGACTTTGTTTGACTCCCTTGGGATTACATTTCCTTCAATGTTCATTTTCACCTGTACCAAGAATATCACTTGTGTTTTGTTTTGCTGGGCTGAATAAGGGAGCTTAAATCTCTGAGAGACTTATTCCAAGCAAACTTCTAGGGACATCCCCTTTTGCCAGCATCTGAAGCAGTCTTTTGCAACAAGTTTTCAGCTGGACATCAAAAACAGAATCTCATTCATGCAAAGGCACTATGCCTTGGGGGTTTTTTTGTTTCGTTTTATTTTGTTTTTGAGTTGGAGTCTCATGCCAACGCCCAGGCTGGAGTGCAGTAGCACCCTCACAGCCATCCCAGCGTCGACTTGCTGGGCTCCAGAGATCCCTTCACCTCAGCCTTCCAAGTAGCTGGAACTACAGGCACGTGCTACCACGCCTGGCTGTTTTGTTGTTGTTGTTTATTGTAGAGATGAGGTCTCATCAAGTTACCCAGGCTGTTCTAGAACCTATGGGTTCAGGTAATCCCCTTACCTCAGCCTCCCAAAGTGCTGGGATTACAAGCTTAAGCCATCATGCCCGGCCTACCTTGGGTTCTTTTTAAATCACATGTGCCTCAAGGAAGCATGGGTTCTAACACCAGGAAAGTCCCCTCCCCATTCCTGAGGAAGCGTCAACCAACATATTCAGATTTAATATGCCCTTCTCCTCTTACCATATCCAATGTATCACTGGCAACAAAATAAGCTTTAACAGGTACCCAGCTGTCACTTACTTGCTGGGTATTCTCAGTCAATTATTCCTCTCTCATCTGGGAAGTAGCACTTAATAAATGTAATATGCTCAAGAGTATTCTAAGGGCCTCACTCAATAGCCGTGGTTGGTGTTTTAGAACACGGACTTTCTATTTACCTGGTCCAGCTCAACTGCTCAGTTGCTCAACAGCAATGTAGAACTGTCTACATATCAAGGACTTCTTTAGGGACAAACAGCCAAGCTAAATTGTATTTTCAAAAATGTTAAATATTACAGAGTGGCCGGGCGCGGTGGCTAAAGCCTGTAATCTCAGCACAAAAGGAGACAAAAGGATTGCCTGAGCCCAAGGGTTTGAGACCAGACTGGGCAACTTGGCGAGACCTCGTCTCTACAATAAATCAAAAAATTAGCCAGGCGTGGTAGCGCACGCCTGTTGTTCCAGCTACTTGGAAAGCTGAGGTGGAAGGATGGCCTGAGCCCAGCAGGTCAAGGCAGCAGTCGTCATGAGTGTGCCACTGCACTCCAGCCTAGGCGACAGAGTGAGACTCTGCCTCAAAACTAAAAAAGATTTGAATGGTGATTTAAACTGCTTTCTCAAAAGTGTTTTTGCTTAGTTTCCCAATAATTTCAAACCAACAAAATTCTGGCTACTTGGAAGGCTGAGGTGGAAGGATCGCCTGAGCCCAGCAGGCCCATACTGGAATGGCCATGAGCATGCCACTGCACTCCAGCCTGGGTGACGGAGTGAGACTCCGACTCAAAAAAAAAAAAAAAAAGATTACAGAGTGGCTAAAGTTATGCTCACAAACATAAAGGCATATGTGTGCTCCAGCAGCAATATAAAACGCTGACAGTCTTAAGTGATTTTAAAGAATAACTACAAACACAATGAGATTGTAAGTGAACTATAAAACCCTCAGTATTCCTTTGTAACTAGATTTTAAAATACCACTCGCTACTCTAAATACTCAATTGGTGTTAATAACGTTCACACTATTGCTTTTAAGAAAAGTTCCACTTTGTGATTTGGGTCTGATATTAACAACCTTATCACCACAAAGTTCTCGTGACATGAAATGACAAGCAAAGGTCTTATCGAGCAGTCTTTCTCCAAACTCCAAGAAAAGCACAAAAAAACAGCCTCTGCTGTCAATCACCCCAGTCCTTTTCCAGGTATGGAGCAGCCAAAAAGAGTCAGGTATGACATCCATTACTTTCCAATTATTATTCAAGTCCAAGTAATAGATGGGAAACTACAGCTTGTCCCCCATGGTGGACTTCTGAGGCCCAAATAGGAAACGTGGCTTTGACTTGACAAATGTCCTCTTGCAGTTCCGTGTCCCTGCTTTGCGACTTGTCATTGCAAATATATATGTAGTAGATATGTATATACTATACGTACATCGAGAGGACAACATTCAGTCCTGGGCAACGAGCCATACAGACACACACACCCTTCAAGTTCAAATCCCAGCAAGGCACCCTGAGCGCCTACTCGTTAGAGGGAGGGGCAGAAGTAGCGAGCAGAGGTTAAACCAGACACCAGCCAAAACAAACACCACTTCCAGAACAGGGCAAACTTTGGATCTGGGTGGCTGCAGAACCCCAGAAATGGCCGGGGGAGGGGAGGGAGTACCAGTCTCAGGGAAGAAAGATGGGGAAAGCGCACCCAGCACTGGGCGAGGAGCTGAGCTGAGGAGGAGGCTGGTGTCCCCCAGGGACAAGGGCGTCGCCGCCATCCCCAGCTGCAGAGCCCCTTCTCTGCGAGCTGGCAAAGGCCTTCAGGTCCCCAGGAGCAGCCCTGTCGCCCCACTCGCAACCCCTGTCCCTAAAGACATTGTCCCCACAGATCCGCAGGGACAGAGGGTGGGGAGACCTACCTGGTGCAGCGTCTCGGGGGGCAGCTGCGACGCCCGGAGCAGGTCGGCCACGGAGCCAGCGGCCGCCGTGGCCGTGCCAGGGGCGATTCTGGCGGTC